GCGTCATTCACATAAAAAAAAAGGAAAAAACGTCACTGCAGTGAGACCTGGTCATCAACACTGCTTCATTATCAGTCTCAGAGGGGTGGCTGTATTAGCTGGTAACTATATTAGTTATATATTAGTCTACATTTTTTTTTGTTAGTCTCTAAGATGCTTGATTACCAGGAATTATGCTGGAAGCCTTAGTCAAGTGGAATGATCCACTAGAGTGAGCTAGAGGGCAACTTTTCACCAGGATGCATATGGTAAAAGAAAGTCATTTAAAGTGTTCTATTGTGTGAAGTGTTGGCATAAAAAAGCGACACTTCTTACTCAGCGGATCTGCTCTCTGCATTCAGTTACATCTGAATTTAGTGATAATAAATATTTTTAGTACTTTTCAATATTGTTAGGTCTGCAGAATGGTCAGACTGCTAAGAGAAAGTGAGCCACCTAGACTCTCTTTCCTCTTGCGTATAATCCACAGATTTGTTTATTAAGAGTTAATTGGGCATGACTTTGCAAATCTACTAATGATAATCCAATTGCATAGGGATAAATGAAGTTACAATTTAGCTTGCGGAATCTTTATTATCGGTAACGATGCACCAGTTGGAAAGAACAAATTTTCCACTCAGATTTTAGGACCAGATAGAAAATCATCATTTTACTTTTGAACAGAGCATGTTTGTTACAGAACTTAAGTAATTAGTGTGAAGCCCCCAAATGCCACTTTTATGGAGAATAAATATACTTCCAGCAAATATACATATGAACAGGAGTAATTTTCTCACTTCTAGAGTTGATGGCTATGATTTTCTTACTGCACATTTCTAACTGGAATAAAATGTAGCTGTCCTGTCAAATGCCTTATTGTGAATCCAAATCATCATAAATAAGAAGAGACTTAAATTTTACAAAATAAGGAATGGAGACAAATGAGTACTTTTGTTTACAATAAATATAGAACTAATAAAAGGAAAGCTGATTTTTTTAACCTAATGTATAATTAATCTTTAGAATTCACTCCCAAAAGATACCACCATCAGAAAAAACTTAGAAAGATTTAAGATGATTAAACCTCCATATGGTAAACAAGAGTATCCGGAGTTATAGTACACAAGATATAAAAAATATTAACATCCTGAGATTATGTAAGAACTTACAGCATGGGGTTTTATTTACAATAGTCGTATATGGGAGGGAGGTTTCTTATGATGCATCTAGTAATAGTCACTGTTGGAGACAGGAAATGAAACAAGATGGATTTGGAAAATAACTGAAATACCAAATGGAAACCTGACTACAATTGGTAAACTAAATCAAGGTTTCTTTTTGTTGATTTAAATAATGATAAAATTGGTGATTAAATTACTTTGATTTAAACCATTCCACTCCATATACACACTAAGGATTATAGGAAAAATGAAACTTGCTAATATTGATGGGATAAACTGGTGAAATGATGAATCAAAGCTATAGAACATAGAACTTTATGGAAAGGATTTGTTAAGGCAACAGACTGAATGGTCTCAAATGGACCAAAGATACATTGATTTGAGTAAGTGTTCCCATATATATAAGAACATCCCTCCATGAAGAATGGCAGAGAGCTGTGCTGGTGTTAGAGCACAACTTTATCATGCTCTCACATCAATTCAAGTACCTTTAATTGAATCCTTAAATTCTGAAAACTGTATACATGACTGAGATGATTGGATGTCCTGTCCTGTGGATCAGATTTAATATTTCCAAAATATTGACTCTTAAAGAACTATGGGAACGCTATTGTTTGTTTGGGGCTCATAAACATATGGCTAAACACATTGAAAAGCAACTTTATCCTGATATCTGTATTCCTACCTGAGGGAGTGCTGTCAGTAGAACAAAGGCCATCAAATACCAAGAAACACTGAACGTAACCTCATTTGTTTCAGTGGCTGTGCTTTCACTATTGCCCAGTGCTTACTGTTTATGGCCCAACTCTTTTAACTGTTGTATGTAATCCTTCTCCTGAGAACACTCATTATAAAATATCTCTTTTCATTAAAAACTAAATACAGACTTAGCTATAATTGTATCAAGAGAGCAGATGTCAAAGAATGGTTATGCACAGTAACTGTTCTTTGAATTGTGATAGAAATGTAGCCGTGTTAGTCTGGGGTAGTTGAAGCAAAATGCAGGACAATGTAGCACTTTAAAGACTAACAAGATGGTTTATTAGATGATGAGCTTTCGTGGGCCAGACCCACTTCCTCAGATCAAATAGTGGAAGAAAGTAGTCACAACCATATATACCAAAGGATACAATTAAAAAAAATGAACAAATATGAAAAGGACAAATCACATTGCAGAACAGAAGGGGGATGCGGGGGGGTGGGAAGGGGGAGGAAGGAAGGTAAGTGTCTGTGAATTGCTGATATTAAAGGTAGGGAGAGTGGGATGTTTGTGAGTTAATGGTATTACAGGTGATAATTGGGGAAACTGTCTTGGTAATGGGTGAGAAAGTTCAAAGACTTGTTAAGTCCTTGTTGGCAAGTGGCAGCAGCAAGAGGATTCTGATCCAGAATATTCTGAAGACAGTGGAGGAGCCAATCCCAGGGGCACTGTAAGATGTCCTGACAAGTGCAAAGCCCAATGGGAATGCAGCAATGTCAGTACCAACAAAGGTACAGCGATCAGTACTGGAAATGCATCTTGAGGCATGTGAGGGTATGTCTACACTACCCCGCTAGTTTGAACTAGCGGGGTAATGTAGGCATACCGCAATTGCAAATGAAGCCCGGGATTTGAATTTCCCGGGCTTCATTTGCAAGTGCAGTATGCCTACATTACCCAGCTAGTTCGAACTAGTGGGGTAGTGTAGACATACCCTAAGGGACTATCTCAATGGCTGATTCCAGGAAGGGACTTTCTATCAGTGTTGACACCTTACAAATGAGTAGCTGAAGTCAGAGGCACTGGAACAACCACTGGAACAGAGTTTGAACTAAGTGACAAGGCCAATGAAACACCCTTACTCAGGACTACTGACGGGGAGGGGGCAAAGGGGATAACTGGACAGGGGCCCAGTGTTTCAAAGGGGCCCAGAGCTCCCAGCCACTGCCTCTGCTACTTCAATAGTGGAATTATTGAGCCCCAAGTTCCTTTGAACTGCCAAGGGAGTGCTGTTCTGTGTGGCTTTGAAGGCTGGAGGCCCAGTGCCATGGTCCAGGCAGTGCTAAAGGTTGATTGCCCTAGGCCCTGCCCCTCCTGCCCTTGGCCCCATCCCTTCCAGGGGCACAGAGCTGGGCCGCGCTCCCACCTTGCCCTGGGGCCTGCTGTGGCTGTTGGCTCCACTGCCTATACTATCCTTTGTAGTCAACATTGATGTTAGTATAATTGGTGGTAGTATCATTCCGCACTGAGGCTACACACCCCACAGGTGTTGCCTCGTGAGTATTACTATAGAAAATTCTCCAGCTGTAAGTGTATGGGATGTGTGCACACCTAAGCAGATACATGTGAACCAATCACAGGAAAATGGAAGCTCTGTAAAAGGCAGATGGCAGCACTGAAGATGATTCAGTTGGAGGGAATTTTTCTTTTTTTGAGCCTCATTGAGCAAGATTGTGGATTGGGAGTTGCTGATATGTCACTAAAAACCTAATTCTGGATTATCTGTGTTAATTAAAGACCCTCTGTCTCTTTCTTCAATGCTATGAATGTTAACTCCCAGGTTATGGCCAAATTCCAAATAGAGTCATTCATCTGTTCCTATACAAATCCCCATTGCAGTTACAGTTAGATTTGGTATTCTTTTTCATTTCCTTGTACTATTTCTCTAGAGCTATTAAGCAGTTCCCACCTACTGCTACACTCTACTCAGAGGCTTCTGCATGTCAGTGGAGTGTATAATGACAGCAGCATTTTTAAAGGTCATTGGAAAGACTAGTGGGATATTAATGTAAAAAGGTCTTACTCTCTAATATGAGATTGTAGAGCTAGAGAATTTTAGAGATAGAGGATACTCATCAAGGATTTACAAGCAAGAAAAAGAGAGCTCCCAGCAAGACTGTTTCTACTCCTAGTTTCTACTCCTAGAAAAGGATCACTCCTTTGAGGCAACAGACTGTGAATATGTAAGTAATTCCAGACAAATAATTGTGCATGCTACTGAGCTGAGTGTAGGGTCCTTCTGATGACATGCCAGATATGTTTGCAGTTCTGTGGGATTTTTTTTTTACATTGCTACCATTGCATAGAGCTACCTCCCTTTTGTATTGACCTCTATTTTCTTGCCTTTCACTCCAAGGGTATGTCTAGACTACAGACTTTTGTCGACAGAGGCTTTGTCGACAGATACTGTCAACAAAGCTTCTATCGACAAAGAGTGTCTAGACTGCAACCAGTTCTGTCAACAAAGCAAGCTGTTCTGTCGATATGAGAGTGTAGACGCATGCAAAGGACAGTGTAGCTGCAATAACGCCTTCTGTCGACAGGACTCTGGCATTATTCCTCGCAGAATGAAGTTTCCCTCCGTCAACAAAACTGCCGAGTTCTGTTGACGTTATATTGACAGAACTCAGTGGCAGTGTAGACGCAGGTATAGTTATGTCGACAAAAGTCCACTTTGTCAACAAAACCCTGCAATTTAGACACACCCCAAGTGCTGTCATACTACACTCTTCACATGGCATTAAAGTTATAAAGCACTACAAACCCCTCAAATGAAGACATATTTGGCATAAATAAGGTGTTCTCCATAGTGAAACAACCTGTTCTGTCTTAATTGCCATCTTTTCTCCCTACTTTTGTCAGTAGCTCATATACTTTTAGGTTGCAAACCCCATGGCTCAGGGATCTTATCTTCCTGCACATCTACAGAGCACCAGGTTCACCAGTAAAAATAATAATTATGTATTTGTATTATTGCAGCACCTAGAGGCCCCAAACCAGACCAAGGCCCCACCGGTACCTATTCTTAGTAAGAAACATTCCCTGTTTCAAAGCTCTGAAAAGTAACATTCAGTGTTTAAATGACTTCGGTGACCAGCCCTCCTCTCTGAAAAAAAAAGTGAAGCAAATAAATTACAATCTTTCTTTCTGCCACTTTCATGGCTCTTGAAGCCTCTGTTTCACTCTCCTGCTAGGCTTGCATGTTTGTCACTTTAGAATCAAGTTTCTTGGCATTTTCTTTTGAGAGGGAGGAAAACATGAGCATACAATCAGAGAGAATGAAAATTAAAAACAGTTGTTGAAATACTAAGTAAATCCAGTATTAGTATCCACGAAGGCCCAAAACCAAGGTAATTATTTTATTGTTATAACTGATTTAGTACTATGAACACATAATGTGTTAATAAAATTAATGAAAAAATCTAGCATCATACCTGTAGGATTCATTTATGAGAAAGAGTCTTCTTGTTCATGTAGGCCTGATCAGTTGATTATCTATGAGAAGAAAGAGACATTACTATTAAAAACAAAAGAGAATCATATTTTCTATGCAAAAAATGCCAGAGACAAAATTCATTGCTGGTATAAGCAGCTATAAAACATTGATGTCAATACAGCAGCATTCATCTACACTGCTGATGAATTTGGTCCTATAAATTTACCTACAAATGCCGGCATTTGTATTCACTTACACACTGGGATAAATAATGAAAATTAGTAGAAAATACTGCAATGCTGGATCCTTTTCTGTCATAAGTACTACTGACAGGAACAATCAACTGGAAATTCAGAATGCAGTTTACATTCATTATCCATACACTGAAGCTGGATGTCTTACAGAAAAAGCTCTGTACTTAACTAACTTTTCCCCGTTACCCTCTCCCAGGTGGTAAGCCTTTGTTTTCAGTGCCCTCATAGAGAATGACTAACTGAAACAAGGTTCAATGGGCAGTTTGTTTTCTGGTGAGGAATAAAAAGCTACGTGCGAAACTACTAGCTCAGGGTATGTCTACACTACAAAGTTAATTCGAACTAACAGACGTTAGTTCAAATTAACTTTGATAGGCGCTACACATGCAAACCGCTAGTTCGAACTTAATTCGAACTAGCGGTGCGCTTAATTCGAACTAGGTAAACCTCATTCTACAAGGACTAATGCCTAGTTCGAATTAACTAGTTCGAATTAAGGGTTGTGTAGCCACTTAATTCGAACTAGTGGGAGGCTAGTCCTCCCCAGCTTTCCCTGGTGGCCACTCTGGGCACCACCAGGAAAACTCTTCTGCCCCCCTCCCGACTTAATTCGAACTAGCGGTGCGCTTAATTCGAACTAGGTAAACCTCATTCTACAAGGACTAATGCCTAGTTCGAATTAACTAGTTCGAATTAAGGGTTGTGTAGCCACTTAATTCGAACTAGTGGGAGGCTAGTCCTCCCCAGCTTTCCCTGGTGGCCACTCTGGGCACCACCAGGAAAACTCTTCTGCCCCCCTCCCGGCCCCGGAGCCCTTAAAGGGGCCCGGGCTGGCTACGGTGCCCATGCCAGGTGCAAGCCTGCCAGCACCCAGCTAGCAGACCCTGTACCTGGCACGGCTTGAGCCAGCCACCCGATGCCCCCCAGCCTTCTCCCTCTTCCCAGGACCAGGCTGGCGGCTCCCGGGAGCTTGCCCGGGACCGCAAGAGG